GAGAGGAAGACAATAAGATGTGCCTCAGTGGGAAATGGTTAGGAGGGAAGTGGGGCGGGGGTAAGGCTAAAGCTTTCTTGTAGATGTTATCAGGTTAAGCCACCCACCACTGGCCATCGCCATGGTGACACCATGGTAACCGCCAGGTGTTCAACCAGAGAAAGAACAAGACCTTGCTTATGTAAAGGGGCTTCCTCTGTGTGTTTCCTCCCTCATTATTTCTGTCTTATTCTCAGTTATTCTCAAATATGTTTTGTCTTAAAGGTCATATTATGCTTTTGGACTTTTCCCCTTTCATTTATTGTGTTATATATGTTTTTTGTGTACATGTAATAGGTTTGCAATGTTCATCCCAAAGGGAGTTACCATCTACCACAGAAAACACTGCTCCTGAACTGCCTGAAAACACCTCAATTGTAGTCCAGTCTTTACTTCCGTGAACAAGTTGAGTCACTTTGTAACAAGTGTTTTGTGCTCACCTAGCGGCTAGTCAGGCACACCCTCAAAAACACTGGTGGAGAAACACACTGAGCTGCAGCACACATAGTGACAAGACGTCTGCCTGCTGCCTCCCCTCACCCCCACTCTCCCTACTGAATGTTAGCAAAGTCCTCATAGGCAAGTCATGCCACTCGGCCGCCATCTAGGCAACGCCTCCAGGCAGCTATTTTGGACTAACAAGACCAGGCTCCTATCTGAATTAATGGGGAGAGATCCAGAACTGCACTTAAACTGGTCACTGGGACATAAAAACTACATGACTAGAATCAGCAATAAAATCTAATAAAAATCCCTGAAGTTTGACAACTTTGCTCAAAAATAACGTTGAAAAAGAGTTTTTCCCAACTGATTATACTTGCATTATATTAGATTATACTAGGTATGCGTCACTACTACCACACATGCACAGTAGAAGTAAAACAGACCCAGACAGTGGAACCACACAATTGGCCGGTTTCCCACTTTGGCTGTTAAAAGCAGACGATTGGCTTTCTAGTGGGAGGGGCGGGATAACCACCATCTTTGCCGTTAAAACGTCTCTGACGTTAGGCAGTCAATGGACATAAAGTTGCTATTGTGGTGTAGAGACAGTGCAAAGTTAAAATGTTACATTTGAAGGATAAATTTGTAACAAATGAATAACTTACCACTGAAACTCTAGCTTGTTAACATGTTAACGCATTAATTAATTATTTAACGCCAATTATTTTATCACATGTTGATGCAGTTTTTATTATCATGATTTTGAAAGTCCGTTGCTCACTGGCTCTGAATACACATACAGTCAAACCGTGGGTCACAGGAGGGGTGGGATGTTGATCAGCCTGCAAATCACCCACCCAAACAAGCAGTGGAGGGAGGCTTCGGCAGACAACATTGGATGCAGTGTGTGGGACAAGTAGATAAACAAAAGCAAGACATGCGAAGAAATGCTATAGTGAAGTGGATAGCTACACACTGCATACTGATTAGTAAAACTCACAAACAGCAAGGATCAGTCTCTCTTCCAATGATTTGTGTAGCGCGTTGCATACAAAAAGTTCAAGACAATTCTACTTCGGCAGCAGGTGTGTGCGTGTGGCGATCAAAACAGTTTCATGGGAACATGGCCGCTTGTGGCTACGCCTTGTGCTAAACCTCTTCACCTCACTCTAACAGGGACACTTGCTACTGAACATAGACTGTTTATCCTGCTCCCTGATAAAAGATAAATGTTTCTGCTGATACCTGTTCAGAAAAAAAACAAGAAAACAGATTTATATATGTTAACCTGTTGCTCAGAAGGTGCCAGTTATGTTATGATCGTGGCTCTGGACTCTGATGGTACCTTGTTTAAACAAGCTAGATAAAAGGTAATACGCTGGCAGTGACAAATAGCTTAGGTTTTATATTTGATTTGATTACATTAATGTTTAAGTTGAGATTTACAAGAAATATCTTATTGCTACTGTGTAGGGAATTGCATTTGCGATATTATCACGATATGATAGAATGAGATTTTGTAATCACAAAGGCTGTGATTACGCTGTGGTCACATGACATGCGAGAGTAAAGCAGTCTGCAGAGAGGAAGCATGAACATGGCACGTTACACTGCACCGTGACTTGTTGTACAATGGCCTCAGGCTTGACAGAACCTGACACTGCACAAACTTTACTGTCTTTACTGTGTGGTGACCTGTCCAGGGTGTACCCTGCCTTCGCCCCAAGGTCAGCTGGGATTGGCTCCAGCCCCCCGCAACCCTGTACGCAGGATAAGCGGTTGACAATGGATGGATGGACTCCACCTACATTTATATCTACATTTTATAATTCATGCAATTCAAGCATCATCTAATTTCATCATAACACAGGAAAGCAAGAACAGTGTATGTTTCTATCTAATAATGTGTTGGTCATACTACACACTGATTTATTGATGGCCATTTTGAATAATACAGAAGATAAAGAGCTTAAAAATAATAATATAAATAGTATTAAATCGCAGTCGCAATAGTGGTAAAAAAAATCGTACTTAGATTATTTTCCACAATCCTTCCCTAAAAGGGAATACTGCTGGTAAAAACCACTATTATTATTGCACTTTTTTGTACATACTGGTACATTTCAATAAAAGTGAGCAATACACTACTTTAGAATTCATTATTCAATTTTGTGCCTAACACAAAATCGCAGAAAGATTAATTGCGATAAAAAATTTTAATCGTTGCCCCACACTAGTTTAAATATATATACAGTATCTCACAAAAGTGAGTACACCCCTCACATTTTTGTAAATATTTGATTATATCTTTTCATGTGACAACACTGAAAAAAATGACACTTTGCTACAATGTAAAGTAATGAGTGTACTCTTCACCCGGCTGCATGTGTTTGCATACAGTGTGTATTTATGGACCAGAGTATTCTGCATATGCACAAAGAAACAAAAATGGAAGCTCAAAGCTATCAAGTTCATCTGATCTCTTTCAAGTAGCTTTACCCATATGATCTGTGTGTTTGTGGGGTCAGTGTTGAGGTCAGTGTATGAGTATGTGTTTTTCTGTATATATGTATGTGTCTCTGTATGGCTCTTCCATTCTTAAACCTATAAGCTGATTTGATAACAGGCTTACAGAGATCTCGGTTTCAATCCCTTGGTGTTAGCTCTGTTACATCACAGCAGCCGGGTATGTCTGTGAGTATGCGTGCATATGTATACACGTGTGTGTGTGTGTGTGTGTCGGTATAGAGGGCTAACAGACGCTCTGCACATGGAAACACACTAGAAACAATGACACACACGTGCCTGTGCCATGCGCGGACTGCAGGCCAGACACACATACACAGTAAGCAAAAGCAAACACACACCACAGACCTTTGCTGTGTCTCTTAAAGGCGTACTGTACGGCTGCTACACACAACATGCCAGTTAAATAATAACTTGTTCAACTGTGTATGCACGGTATGCTAGTAGGTATGTGCACTCATAGGACACTCAAAAGTTAGGAGTGGCTGCTTTGTTGGGTGTGTGGGGATGTAATAGGTAGGAATGTGTGTAGGTATGTATGTAAGTAGCCTGTGCACAATGTACAGTATGTGTGTTGATGTATACATATAGATATATCTTTCTTTTCTTTTCTCTTGCTTTGTAGTTTCATATTATGGAAGGATGTAGTTTTTAAAGTAGCCTGTGTGATGCTCCAGGGTATGTTAGTAATCTGGGACTTGTATTGCCTTAGTGTATAATGTTTGCTTTTTTTATTCTTACAAGTGGTGTGACCATTGAGAATGTATAGTGGGAGAAATGATAATTAAATATAAGAAAATAGGGAGTAATCAATAGCGCAGTGTGCTGTAAGTGACAACAATATAGTTCAGCAGATTTCAGTACACACTGAGCCACAGCTACGTTGAAGTTCAGTCAACTCCTGTTCTCACTGAAGAGTTTACAGTCCTTGTTGCAGTCATCTCTCCATCTGCCATTTCATTTACAATGAAAGGTTTTCTGTGCAGAAATGCAGCATAAATTAGTAAGGCCAGCAGTTTCTGATGAATGTCCATTTGTCTTGTTTCCACCTTTAAAATGTTGTACGCCTCACAATGACAATTCCCTAGCTGCTCCAGAGACGCTTTTTCAGTCGCTGACTCTGACCTCTGACCTCCATTTAAAGGGGATCGAAGAGAGAAGACATGCACATTCAGGGTCTCACACTATTACTGATTTATTAGTATACTTGGCTGTCACCACTGACTGCTGGGATAAGCTATTCAGGGCAGGTTGCACATTTTAACAGCCTTTAATGTTCCAAGACTAGACGTTGTAACTGTGTTCATGTTTAGTGGGCTGTTTTTTACTATGAGAGCTACGTTTGGTTGTGTTGAAATTACAAACATACCCAGTGTCATTCATAAATCATAACAATCTAAATTTACTTTTCACATTTCCACATTACCACATTTCACTTTTAATAGTGTACTCCTATCCAGGAAGTTAACCTTAAAAATGCAATACAGTTTTTCTTTTTAAAAAGCAATAAAAATGTATAAATGGAGAAACATCTAATTTGCAGTGATGTCGCAGTGAAACTTTAATTTTAGTCTCATAATAATGTACATTTTCATAACAATTACACGTGGGGTTTCTTCTACAGACTAAGGAAAAAGGCAAAACATCTGGCTTGTGAGTGGTAAAGACGAGAAGGAGACAAACTGCCAGTAAGGGACAGGACTGGGAACCAAAGACAACGAAACAGAGAGTTAGCGGGAATGAGAGAAAAGTGAGGAGGAGAGGAAGTTGGAGAGACAGATGGGAGTTGATCTTGCGGAAGGACACTCCTCAGGGTCCTCATATCCTTCTCCTGTTTCCTATTAGACGACTTAACTTGAACCTGCGTGCTTCCTGATTTGACTGTGTTTAATGTGACATATGGGACAGTTGCTTGTGTTATGTTCCATTTGATGTGTCCGTTTCTCACATACAGTTCTAACATTTCTATCTTGTTTTTATCTGTGTTTTAGATAAACCTGCGGCTTATTTTAGTCAGCGGGAAGACGAAAGAATTCCTCTTCTCTCCCAACGACTCGGCAGCAGACATTGCCAAACACGTCTATGACAACTGGCCGATGGGTGAGTAGCTCCATTTAGATACATCAGTGATTGGCAGTTGATAAGCAGCTGATTTGAATGAGTATCAAGTGACTTAAAGGTCTACTAATTTCTTTATCTATAATAACAATATTATCTATGTTAACAATGCAACAACATATAATTACTCCACTAAATGTCCTGCACTCAAAATCCTACTTAAGTAAAATATGTATATGTAGCAGCAAAATGCACAAAAGTAAGCAATATGCAGATTACTAACATCTGTCTATTGTATAATTTTAGCAACTTTGTATTAAGTTAGGTAGTTTAATCTGTGATGCATCATATGTTTTTAACTGATAATATAGTTTACAACTTTATTACAAGTAAAAAGCACAATATCCTTGCCTTACTATGACTAGCATGTCTGCTTCACATTAACTGCTAAGTGTAAACATTTACCAGATTTAGGAAGGTATTTGGTAGAGTATACTTAATGTGACTTTTCCCCCAAATTCTGCACATAGATTATATCCTGTTGACCATTTTGTGATATTTTGTAATATTGTGTAAGCACAGCCCCAGTGTGTGTGCATGAGCAGTAATTGCTAACAATGTAGCTGCTAATGCACTTTGAAACCAGATGATCTGACTTACCTTGGCTGTATTTTTTATTTTAATTTTTTACAACAAAGATAAAGGCGGCTGAGGAGCTACATGGTGTATCCAGAGAGTTGAGATCACATTCAAACCTACTGCTGATGAATATCTGTATAGCAGTGTGGGAATGTGCCAATCTTTGGTGCAGGGTAATTAGAGTGCGCTCCTCCTTTCAGGCTGATTATCATTTCATAAAGGAATGTGGGAACAGCCACTACCTCTCTGTAATACACCCACTCCCTAAACGCTGCTACACCAGTGTCACAATTCATTTGATACTGCCGACCTTACACCACCTTTAAATCTGAACAGACTTTTCCTATGATGCTTTGAATGTAGTGCAGTTAAGAGAAGGCCACAAGTGCATGAAAAACTATAGATTATACTGATGAACTCCGTGACAAGAGGAGATTCCCTTTCAGTCCTTTTAGTTTTGGACGCGCCCTGTGCTCCTCCCAGACAACAGATCTGAACCCTGTGAGACCCAGAGCAGGCCCTCAGTCAGCACCAACACCCTCCGCTCAGCCGGAGACAAACATCTGGCGGCCAGACTCTGCTGCCATGCAACTCCCCCCGCTGTTTTCCCTCTCATTTGATGCCTTCACTTTTGTCTTTTGCTCTTCCCAAGCCACACCTCGTGTTCTTTTACTTTGAATGTCTCTCACATTCTGTAGTGCATCCCACAAAGCTTACATTATTATACATTCTGAATGTAATGGTCTGAAATAAAGGCCCTAAATGTCTCAAAATATCTTCAGTGCGTTTGTTGGGGGTGTTTTTGTTACACCATGCAATGACTGATTTCTTATCTATTCACTGTGTACAGAAAATGACATTGACACAGAACAGGGCTAACGGAGTAGTTTTGAATTAAAAACTTTTCATCATGTGTTAGTCAGAGTCCCATAACAATTAAATTCCTTACTTATACCTTCACTTTGTTTAGAGCAAATTCAATCAAAAGTAGCAATAAAAAGGTTGTGAAATGTAATTACTGAACCTGCCTGTTCTGTTTATAAATTATAGATTATACAATAATGATGAGGAGGATGTTTTATGAGAAAGAGGTCACATAATGTGGAAATTTAGACAAAAACAATATTGAGAAAGAGTTGTGCAGGCAGGGGAAAATACATGAAGCTGGTCATCTGTCTTTCTCCATGTTGATTTTTCTCTCTTCCCCTCTGTCTCTGTCCTTTTTTTTACCCTTTCAGACTGGGAAGAAGAGCAGGTCAGCAGTCCTAACATCCTGAGGCTGATCTACCAGGGCCGCTTTCTACACGGCAACGTAACACTAGGAGGTGAGAAAACACAGAAAGTACACCTCCTGCTCGTAGACGTGCACCCAAAATCACAGCAGAGTGTTGCTGGAAAGTTCTTTGCTGTTCTCATCCCTTTCCTGAGCCGCCGAACAGAGGTACCTCAGTGCTCTGGACAAGCCTGCTTTGACGGGAGAGAGGGAGGAGAGAGGAAATACAGCAAAAAGAGACCGGTCAGGAAAGGGGCAAGACCGTCGTTAGAGTAGCAGCACAAAGAACAGACAGAAAAGGGACATTGGAGGGAGGGGGGAGGAGGTAGGGGAGGGATCATGAAAATGAATGCCATAAGTGAAGAGAAAAAGACGATGTCCCACTTCACTGCTCCCTGGCTTTTAGGCTTTTTCGTCTACTTAACCCAATTTTGATTTGACTGTTTTTTGTGTGGTTAATGGGGTTATGGCCGTCCCTAAACCTTTTACACTCATCCCATTACTGCCATCTATCTGATAATTCCCTTATCGGTGGTTTAACATGTTTGCCCGCTGACACAGAATCCTCTTATTAAAGTCGAGTCAAAACTCCCTGTGGTTTTGAAGTGTAAAAACAACACACTTGAAGTGATTGATAAGCAGATTTGGGGGAGTTACAAATATTACAAGTAAGACATCAACTATAATGTGTGCAATGTGTTGAGGAATGTAATAACCTTCATGTAGTTTATTTTTTTCCCATCAAATATCACAGTGGGATTAGTTCCACTTGTAATATTACAAAGCATACAGTAGTTAGAATACAATACGTTTTGCTTAGCTTCCTGGCAGCCATTGATTTCCATTCATTTTGCCGTAAAAATCAGCTCCCTAATATCTTTAGATAAATCACAGTCATACATTTGACATTTTAGGAACAGCCGATCACCCTGTGTGAAAAAACTGACATTCGTTTACATAAAGGTTTCAGGCCCGTTCCTTACCTGCAACAGATTAGTCTGCAGCAAAATCACCTCACAGTCAAATATTTTGACTCCTTCAGCAATAGTTTATTATTTCATTATAATGTAGATTGTAGCTTTTCATCTCTATTGTAGCTTCGATGTTGCCCAGCTCTTTCCAGTGTAGCATAACTTGTACTAGTAATAGTGATGGTGAATGACCTTGTAAACAGATGTACTGTAGCTCACTGAACAACCTTTTTCTCTCTCTCTCTCTTTTCTCCCCTGCTAGCTCTCAAACTGCCCTTGGGGAAGACCACAGTGATGCATTTAGTTGCCAGAGAGACTTTGCCTGAGCCAAATTCCCAAGGTAACCAGCTCTCCGTCTCCTTTCTTTCCTCTCAGTAGGCCTTTCACACGCTCAACAACTTTAAACGTTTTGCTCCCAGCAGTTATTTATCTCTACACATGGCTTCTGTTTTAGGAACAGCCATTGGTGCAAATAATTGGCTCCCTTAAGTGTATCCCCAAGATACAGCGCACTGTGTTGAACATACCGCTAATATAAATCATATAAGGTGACCGGTCTTTGTGACAGTGTAGTAGAAGGTAATTGGGACTGATTTCAAATGTGACGAATAGACTTCAGATTGACATCTAAGTTCACTGTTTGCACAGAGTGCTCTAGTTATTGACCATCTTCCATTAGCTATTTATGGGTAAAAAAAAATCCCATGTTAAGGTAGCAAGAAAAACATAATCACCTGAGTTTACGCCAGAAGAAAACCTGTTTGTTGGTGTCTCTGACTTTTACAATAGAAACAGTTAGACTAATCCAGCAAAACTGAGTGGCCATGTTGCTTCAGGTACATGGGACATGAAATACTATCCAGGAAGTCCAGTTTCAGTAAAGAGATGAAGTTTGAAGGCTCATCAGTGCTGCACACTGGAATGCTAAAAATACGGCGTTCACATTATAAAGTAATCTACCAGGAGTGTGTGTTTGCCAACTTAGCACCTAAACTTTTTTTGCCGCATGACCCTTATGAAACTGGCAGATCATGGCGCCAGCCATATCGACACAGGCGGCGGCGGCTGTACACGGCGGAAATTTTACACTGGACTTCAAGCAACGTGGATTCTGTGCCTCTCCTCTCTTCCTCCAGACTCTGGGACCTTGATTTCCAAAGGAAATGCAAAATTTACTTTCATCAGAGAACATAACTTTGGACCACTCAGCAGCAGTCCAGTCCTTCTTGTCTTTAGCCCAGGCGAGACGCTTCTGACGCTGTGTCTTGTTCAAGAGTGGTTTGACACAAGGAATGCAACAGCTGAAACCCATGCCTTGCATACGTTTGTACGTGGTGGTTCTTGAAATACTGACTCCAGCTGCAGTCCACTCTTTGTGAATCTCCCCCACATTTTTGAATGAGTTTTGTTTCACAATCCTCTCCAGGGTGCGGTTATCCCTATTGCTTGTACACTTTTTTCTACCACATCTTTTCCTTCCCTTCGCCTCTCTATTAATGTGCTTGGACACAGAGCTCTGTGAACAGCCAGCCTCTTTAGCAATGACCTTTTGTGTCTTGCCCTCCTTGTGCAAGATGTCTATGGTCGTCTTTTGGACAGCTGTCAAGTCAGCAGTCTTCCCCATGATTGTGTAGCCTACAGAACTAGACTGAGAGACCAATATTGAACCTTTTCACAATATTCTAATTTTCTGAGATACTGATTTGGGGATTTTCATTAGTTGTCAGTTATAATCATCAAAATTAAAAGGAATGAACACTTGAAATATATCAGTCTGTGTGGAATGAATGTATACATTATACAAGTTTCACTTTTTGAATGGAATTACTGAAATAAATCAACTTTTTGATGATATTCTAATTATATGACCAGCACCTGTGTATATATATACACACAGTATTTATATATGTCAGTGTGTGTCATGATGATGATGTGTGTGTCTTGATGATGATGATGTGTGTGTTCCCAGGTCAGAGGAACAGAGAGAAGACCGGGGAGAGTAACTGCTGTGTCATTCTGTAAATACATGCCTCCACCACCGGCCCTCCATCCTTCTCATCCGTTCTCGTCCTCAACAATCCTGGACCTAACAAGCTTGTCCCCTGTCCTGGAGCCTGTCCACTATGCGGATATGCTTTCAGACAAACACACACACACACACACACACACACACACACACACACACACTTCTCTTTTTTCCCCCTCTCTCACACACTCACACAGACATAGAAAGTAGACAGCAGGCTCAGGCTGATCCAGGACGCAGAGTTGAGGAGCAGGAAATTGATTAATGATAGAGCTGATTCCTTTGTTGTACTTGATTTGTTATCATAACTGAGAATCAGAGGAAGGAACTGGAATTGCATGTGTATATTTTTCTTTTTTTCTTAATGCACACCTTTTTAAGCCTTCTGCCATAACACACACACACACACACACACACACACACACACACACACACACACACACACACACACACACACACACACACACACACACACACACACACACACACACACACACACACACACACACACACTAAACATACACATCTTGGCTAGCCACCCTCAGCCAGGCTGTTAAAAAGTGTTCTAACTGGCTCCTCATTCTTGCTGGTTGTCACAGTAATTAATGCAGTGCCCAAGTTTGTGTGTGTGGCCTTGTTTTCTCATACACACCACTGACATTTTTAACCACTAACAACATACCAACACACACATATACACACACATACCCTGTCTACACATCCAACCATATGTGCTTGTGTGATCTCCCTTGGTGCAGCAGACGAAGCTTAGACGTGCCTGATCAGAGAACTCAAACTAGGACACATATACACACAAGATAAGAAAACCTTTATTTGTCCCACAGTGGGGAAATTGCGGAAACATATATATATATATATATATACACACACACACACAGACATATACACACACCTGTGTCCTTTTTACTGCCCTCCTCTGCATGTGCCCTTAAAGGTCACAGCAGAGAAATTATTCTTTTAGTCTGCAGAGCGCTGTACAGACCGAACACATCCTACTCTTTCAGTCATCATATTTTAGCCAAACAAACAGACAAATAACCAGTGGCGGTTGTATTTTGGTTATTTGTTTGTCCATGACATTTGTGGCTGTGTTTTTACAGTCCATGCATTTTACTGACCGACCAGTGTTGTGATTAATAAAACGTCATGTCAGTCCCCACCCTCCCCGATGTACCATCCCTCTCCTTGCGAGGAAAGGCTCATTGTGCTCTTTTTTAAAAACAGTGTTGTGAAGGGTCTGTCTCTTGAGAATTGCTGTTTAAGCAGGGAAATGAACACGGAATGAAAATGTTCCCTATTTGTCTTAATTCGCTTCCTACTCTCCTTAATTCCCTCTCCGCATTAATAAATCCATTTTGCACAACTGAAGCATGTGCTCCTTCATCAGATTAATAAAAATGTATAAAACGTTTTTTGTTTTATTTTATATTTTTCCAATGGAAGTAATGTTCCAAACGAAGGTAATATGTAGAAGATATTTAATATGAATCTTATATAGAACATGATGACTCTAGATCTTGTTGATATACAGTATATTGGTGTTTAGTCTATGATTGTGTATATGGTTAGCTTCTAGCCAGTTCACAGTCACTCGCTGACAATGTCTTGTGCTTAACAGCAGCAAAACCTCCCTAATCATCCATTGACTGTAATTTTATTTTGTTTGTTTTGGTGTTCTTTTTTTTTTTTTTGTTTATAATTTAATGTAATCCTTTTTCTTTGTGGTTTTTTGCTTTAAAGATTTGCTTTGTAACAGCACTAGGTCTTAAAAAAATATTGTTTATATTGATCAGGGTTCAAATCTGTACAGAGATAAATGTTTTCAAAAAATTGTAAATAGCACTAATGCTCCCTCCCTCCCCCCTCCAAACTTCAAAATGGAATACATCTGTAATCTAAATAAAGGTTATTGAAGTGCACTGCCTTTTGTCATGATTTACCACACATAAATCGGAAATCTCTTTTGAGTATCACATGATTTTGACAGCCTACTATTACTGACACACAGCAATGAATTTAAAGTGCCTCACTGGACTGTAAACAAGACTTTCAACAGACAGCTGAATCAGATGAGGTGACGTGACTTTCTGAAAAATACATGGAAGTGGATTGTAAAGGATTTCTGCTGAAATTATTTTTGATAGTCTGGAAGCTGGAAGCAGATTAGGTTTGGGAAGCTGTTTCGTTTTTGAAAGTTGACATTTCATTTGAAGTTATGTAGGAAATACTTCACATCCCAAGTAAAAGTTCTGCATTCAAAATTGTACCTAAGTGAAAGTACAGTGCAGTCAAAAGTAAAAATATCAAAATTAATTGACTCATGCAAAATAACTTTTATAGTGTCATATTATCATGTACAGTATGCTACATTCATTGTATTTATTATTATTGATGCATTAAAGTGTTAGCAACATTTTCTATACCTGATTGGGGTGATTTTCCTTTTTAGAGGAACTAGGGAATGTAACAAGTACTTACTCAAATTAAGTACTTATTTATGTTTTAAAGGCACTTTACTTGAGTATTTCCATTTTATACTACTGTACTTCTATTTCACTACATGTCAGAGGGAAATATTGCACTTTTTACATCACTACATCTTAAATGCTCTAATTGTATTATTTAAATAGCTGTTTAAAGCCCATTGAGGTTTTACAAAAAAGTCTGACAAAAGAATAATGTTTTTTCTTCTTTCCTGCCCCATCATTCATCTCATGACCCCCCAGATTTATTTGATGACCCCCAGCTTGGGCGCCATTTAATCTACCTAACTGTACACAGAAGTAGTTCAAATGTGCTCAGTAAAATGGTAATTATGCATTAATGCGTCAGAATTAGCAATCTAAAAATCTTACACTGACAGGGGTCATTTTTCTACAGAATGAGTCATTTCACATTTGATGTACATTTACATGATAATACAATATGTACTTTTATGTAAGTAGTATTCTGAGGACTTTTACTTGAAACTGAGTATTTCTGTTGTATTAGTACTTTTACTTGAGTAAAGTAAAATTAGTACTTTTACTTGAGTAAAGTAAAAGTACTAATACAACCCTACCACTGTGTAGGATTGTCAAACGTGTTGTATGTAAAATATTATTCCGTAAAGTAACTAGCTGTCAGACAAATGTAGTGGAGTGAAAAGTACATTTCCATCTGAAATGTAATGGAGTGTAAAGTATGCAGTAGCAGAAAATAAAAACACTCAAATAAAGTACAGGTAACTGAAAAATACTACTTTACACTTCAGCACTGTGTGTAGGAATAAGTTTAATGTGAGTTGACAGCCAAGAGATTCAGCTAATCTCAATTTACAGAGAATCAGCAGAGGGTCATCACAGACTTACTAAAGCTTGTCTTTAAAAAAAATATGATTTCTTCATTTCCACCCACTTAACATTTAAGCTGATAAAGTCTTAATACAAGAAAGAATAAAATTAAACTGCGTCATTTTTCTGTGACAACCATGTGATGCTGTTAGGTCACTTGTCCAGTTTGCACAGTCAGTAGGCCAAAGTGCAGCAGTGTAGAACACAGAGAACTGTTCAGCCAAGAGCAGGTTTCCAGACGTGCTTAGCCTCATGTACTTTGCTAATGATACACTGAACAAACAAGAGATGTGACGTTACAGCAAGGACAATTTTTAATTGAACAAATAAAAAATTGGCGTCTAGGTTTTTTCTGATGTAGCAGCACAGGATGAGGGTAGATCAGATTTGCAAAGAAGAAAATAAGTTATTTTTTTAAAAGATGATGACTGCACTTCTGTTGCCTTCAGTGTAGGTTTTTCTCCCTCTCTCTCTCCTCCTCCCTGTTTTATCCCTCCCTTCTCTCCTCCTTGCAGTCATGCTGTGTCCACACAGTGACTGTAATGTGGGCCAGATATTCAACATGAATACAACTATTCTTCTGTTATTTACACACACATACATAGAAGGAGTGTGTGTGCAGATGGAGAGGATTGTGGTTACAGTAGTACCACTCACAACAGCTCATTCTGTTTGTGTGACATTAAGCCACTCAGTATTGCTGTTGCCTGGCCTCTGAACAATACGCCAGTCTCTATATACACACAAATCATTGTTTCAAAGGTAATGTGAGTCTCCATGAATAAACATTTTGCAGTATCATTTAAATATTTGTGACATTTACAATAGTGACATATACAGCTAGACTGTAAACATTAATAAAACCGATATGATTCCATGCGTCTGCTACAATAACAGGACGTAAAATGAATAGGACTGGCAGGGTGGGCATTCATGGGGAACCCCTTTCATAAATTACTCATTAATTACAAATGTTTGGATGGAATATATAAGTGAAAATATAATTATGGGTAACAACCAAACAGCATGGCAAAATTTGATTTTCTTTGTTCAGTGTGTGGCCCATCACAGACCACTTTAAGGCTTGAGGATGTTGCCATCTTCTGGCAAAATACCTGTATAGCAACATTATAACCACCAGTGCTATAAATGCACACTGTAGAAGGTGCTTTAATAAATAAGCAGCATATAACCTTTTTTTAAATTTAGAGAATAACATAGATGACATATAGTTACACTGCGTGCACAATTATTAGGTGAGTTGTATTCCTCTGGATACATTTTATTGTTGAACAGCCACAGTGCTCTCAGTCAATCTAAAATATAATTTAACCTCAAACCCAAATTTTTAATAAAAGTGAGTTTCGTCTTGCTCATGAGAATATTTTAAATGTGTGCAGTATTATTAGGCAATGAAATTACTCATTATTCTTTTGTGTTACAACACAAAATGACAAATAAAATGTTTGGCCTTTCAAAATTATTTAGTAACCATAATAGCCACTATTCTTTTCAATAACTTTCACGAGCCTTCTATCAATGGAGTCTATTAGTTTCTTCATCTGTTCACTATCAACTTTCACTGAAGCAGCAACCACAGCCTCCCAAATGCTGTTCAAAGTGGTGTATTGTCATCCCTGACTGTAAATCTGATTCTGTTTGAGAAAGGCCCACAAGTTCTCAAGTCAGGTGAGGAAGGAGGCCAGGTCATTATTCAGGCATCTTTGAGGTCCTTGCTTGCTAGCAAAGCAGTGGAGTAGTTGGATGCAATTGATGGATCATTGTCCTACATAAAGATCATGGCCTTGTTGAATTCTGAGGAATTTTTCTTGTAACACTGCTTGAAGAAAGTATATTCCAGAAACTGTCAGTAGGTTTGGGAGTTGAGTTTTAAATCTCTTTTCTGGCTCATTTTACTCGAGTTAATGAAACTGCCTAATAATCATGAACATTTTGATATAAGGTGTGATTCACTTTCACCACACCCTCCCTCATTACACAAATACAAATCCCCTGAAATGATTAACTCCAATGAGCATTCAAGTTTATGTGGTTTTAGGTTTGGAAAATGTGTATAGAAATAAGGATTCAATCAGAATACTTGCCTAATAATTGTGCATGAATTGTAGAGGCTACTTCACCCTTGTGCCATATTCCATATATTCCTGTTGAAAATCCTAAAATAATATTATTATTAATATTTCGAAGAACTGAATAAGAATAGTGTGAATATATAGGCCTCTTTTAAAATGTTAAAAGCCTAGTGAAAGTCTATGAGAGCCTCTTTAACACCCTGCAATAATAATAATGCTAATTGGTCTCTACATCTCTTCACTGAGGTTCTGTCACCATAATATTAGTTAAAATTAAATCATTAAATAAAATTCAATAAACATTCAGTGGTGCAAAGTCAACCAGCTGTGTGAGTTTGGAAGAGTTTTAATATTAAATATTAATCTACTCTGAGATTTCTTGTCCCTTTTCTCCCTAAATAGCTAGCCCTGTTTACCATTTTCTTTTGGTTCTCTTTTTGTGCAGTAATAATATATCTACCTTCTGTTGTTTGGTTTTGACAGGCCATATCTGATATCTCTACAGCTTCTTTCTCTCTATGTTTTGATTTACAAGAGGATGGAATGTCTATTATATGATGTCCCACCACATCAGCCATATTGTGTTGCAAAATTGTGACTCAGGCAATACGATGCTTCAAACTATGTCAGTGTTATCTCTCATTATGAGTTCATAAACTCAGAACTGTATAGCACTTCTTAACAGTTCAGTTTGCAATATAAGAGAATAATTTTGTTTTTGTTATGGCATTTTAAACACATGAACTTGACCGGTAAATGCAGAACGGCTTTCTGTTTTGGACTTTAAACACTATCCGTACACATACACAGAGTGAAAGCAGGACAAAAAGAGGGAACACTGGCTTGGTTTTCCAGTCTATTGAACCTCTTTCCATGTATATTACCATATATACTAATGCAAACATTTATTAGCAACAAAACAAGGTCACGGACCACTTGTCATTGTGACTTGGTGACAGTGAAAATTTGGCCATGCTTCGTAGGCGTTACATCCCTTCGTCTCTGGACCCAGCGTGTCAATATTTGCTTGATCTCCTTGGTTCTCAGACAGTAGATGAGCGGGTTGATCAGCGGAGGGAAAAGACTGTAGATGAGGGTGGTGGCTATACGCTTGTCAGGGGTCATTTTCAGGTTAGGGAAGAAAGGTGTTGAGTAGACAAAGAAACGTGGTATGTAGTAGAGAGAAATGATACAGCCCTGGGTGGCACAGGTAGAGAAGGTCTTCATTCTGCCCTGAGGAGAACAGTGGCTTAGGATTAAAAGGGGCATAATAAAACAAAAAGACAGGAAATGTAAGATTTAGAAGAAAACTAGTTGCTGAGCAAAAGACAAAATGTTTCTTATAATTTCTAATCTTAATTACAGTATGAAAGTATCTCAGCATAGGATAATATTGTCTCACCTGTCCATTGGCCATGCGCAATATTGAGATGATGATGCAAATGTAAGAGAAGATGATGAAGGCTAAAGGGCCGTAAAGAATAAACATTGCACCAGCAAATGCAGCGCTGTATTGTTGGCTGGAGTCCCCACACACTAGAGCTGTAAGAGACAAGGTGTCGCAGAAGGCATTTATGATTTGGTTGGGCCCACAAAACGGCATCATGGCAAAGATGATGCTGCTACTGCCAGGGAAGATGTGCGCCAACACCCAGCAGAAGAGTGTGAGGCTTGACATCGTATTGTTTGTCATCATCATCGGGTATCTGAGAGAAATGGAGGTAGAAAGAGAAAGAGTGATGGATAGGAGGACTGAGGAGGAAAGAAAAAAGAGAAATTGCAGGACTTAGGTGAGACTCATCAAATTGCTTTTATTTTTACCTGAGTGGAAAGCAAACGGCAAGATATCGGTCCAGGGCCATGGTCAGTAAAATCAGGGAGTTCAAGGAACCAAAATAATGGATCATGTGCTTTTGGAAGAGGCAAGTGTGAAAGCCAAGACTCCCATCATTTGACCAGTAGCGAGCAATTAGTTTGGGTAAAGCCACTGTGGTAAAGCCTGTAGGCAAAAGAAAGAAAGTGAAAAGAAAAAAGAGACAACACAAGGCAAAGCAGATCACATGTGACAGTATGTCTGTTTTTCCATAATTTCTTCAACATTTTCATTTTAATACACTCATTTTCTAACATATGATGTCATGTCACACTAACATGTATGTATTCAAACTAAAGGGCAGGCAGATTCATACGGTTCGGTATACACTACACAGCACGAAATCCTTAACACCAGTTATTGGAAATAAAACCAGGAACCAAATTGATTTTTACATCAATATATAATTTTATACCAATAACAACCATTTGAATGCAGTTCAATTACTGTTAATAATAATAAAAAACTGTTAATATGTAATTGTTTCTCTCATATTTCCTGGTCAAGTCTAGACACTGCTGTGCATCAAAAGATCAAGAGGGCAGCTCTTGTTGAAATACAGAATCCAGGTTGTCACACCGAATATTCTAGCTCCTGAGATTAGGCAGTGTATGACATGCAACACAAACAATACCATATTTACCAATATCTGAGAGGGCCAGGCTAACCATGATGATGTACATGGGCTTCTGAAGACTGTGGTTCAAAGCAAAAACAACCAGTAGCAGAAGGTTGCCCACCACTGTGGTCACATAAAGGAAGAAGAAGACCCATGCCACTAAGTCAAAATACTCCGGCTGCAGACTTGGGAAGCCCACAATAACAAACTCTGTCACGCGGGTGTAGTTCTCATCCACCTGAAACATACTGGAGGCAGAGGTAGGCAGATAATACAGCCAGTACAGAACAGAAAATGGCTGAGATAGATTGTGTTTGAAATGTATTATAAACTGTGTTTGAGGTACATGTCTGTACTTACCTCACCGGACAGCCTTGATGGTGTGACAAACACAGACAGCAGGCTCTCAGTTTTATAAAGATTTCGTGACACGCAGGAAATGCAAAGTTTGTTAATACATCTTCATCCCAGTAGAGACAAAAAAGCAGCACACTCAGGTCATCCAAGTTACCTTCCCATAACAACTGTATCATAGTAAGATATTACACACCCTTGTATTCTCTTATTTTTCACTGAATCCCAATGATTTTCTGACCAGTGATGCAAAACAAATGGATGACACAAAGTCAGTGTTTTATGAATGCAATACTGTTTTCATTGCAATTCCCATGGACCATAAACCTTGTAACATTATGCCAAAATTAATAATTTTCAAACCAACTTATGTTTCACTTTTGTCAAAAAATATAGCTAGGCTAAGGTAACTTTCCTAACTAACAGCACATTAGATGTGTTATTGTGTCTCAATTGATTTTGTGTATTTTCATTTCAATGTGACAGCCAGCACACCTGCTTCAGACAGTGATACACACAACTCTCTTGCTAATGTAGCTAACATCACAAAAACATCATATCTTGGCAAACTTATATATAAGCTGAAATGTCTGTGGGCAAGTACTTGAAAGTTACCTGACACACAATCATGGCTGTGTTGTGTCGCTCGGTCTGAGACACTTTGTTTCCCATTTACAGGGCCAGGTCTGTGTTATTTCATTGCACACACAGAACAGACATCTAGCGGATCATGAGGAGATATTCGATAAATTTGACAAAAAGATGTTGATATGGTGACTATGTATCTCTGAGCTTGAACTGAAATATTTTTGCCCCCTTGTGACTCACTGTGAACTGATAGTGTACGCTTTAATTGTTGAGTCCTGTATGCGTCACATCGACACACGGAAGAAATAAAGGTTAAGCCTTGTTGTTAAGCATTCAGTCAAGGGGAGTTGTAATTTCCAACATCTACGTGTCATGTGCGTGGACAGATTTTAACTCAATTCATGTGTATTGGTCATAAAACACAAACAGGGTATTTCATATTAAAGAGGTCATATTTATACTTTTTGGCTTTTTCCCTCTCCTTTATTGAGTTATATACCTTTTTTGTGCATGTAATAGGTTTGTGAAAAAGCCCAAAGTCCACCCCAAAAGGAGTTCCCATCTCCCACAGAAAACACTGCTCTGAACTGCCTGAAAAAAGCTTGTTTTTAGTCCAGCTGTTTCCTTTTTTCCTCTGTGACGTCACACCAAAATGCTAGTCATACTGCTTGCCTAGCGACCAGTCCGACACACCCTCAAGAACAATGGTGGAAAAACACACTGAGCTGCAGCACACAGTGACAAGATGTCCGCCTGCTGCCTCCCCTCTCCCTTCCAAACATTAGCTAACCTCCAGGCAGTCAATGGACACAAAATTGTTACTGTGATGTAGAGACAGAACGCAGTTAAAACTTTACAGATTAATAACTCACCACTCTGAAACTCTTGGTCCAGTCCATGTTGCAAAAGCTGGTAACGGAAACATACAGCTGAAGCGAAGTCCTGCTTTACTGGCTTTTCAGGACCCACCCTACTCTGCTTCTGATTGGCTAGTAGTCCTTAACTAGGTACTGCACATGTGCAACTCCCAACAAAGATCTATCAGAAGTGAGATGCTTCACTCCATAGCTAAAACAGAACACTTAACACACAGGGTGAAAAGAGGAGCTGCAGCAATGTGCAGTATAACAAAAAAATATGGTGTTTTTTGAAAATGAAACCATGTAAACCTATTCTGGTACAACCCCTAAATAAAATTATGAACCTGAAAATGAGCATAACATGACTACTTCAAAAACTGCAACTTTGGATAATGTTCACTAGCTGACTGATACATTGTCTCTTGCTGAACTGGAATGCATGGATTTTGCTCCACTATTTCTTACAGTGGGCTTAGGCTGGGGAGCTAAGTCTGTAGGACCAGAATGGAGAAGTGGATCGATCACCGAGGCCAAAGACCCTCCTGAAGCACATATTGGCAGAGAGTATAAAATCAGGATAGACTTAAGTAATTACAAACGTATTGTCTAAGCTTTAAGACAACTTACATTAAAATTTCAGGTGGATGCTCATACTATTAAGTTAAAGGGAAAGTAGGTAATTCAGTAGAAGGATTGCTGATATTTGAACTCAAATGCCAAACAAATACACCCCTCCCTTCAGTGCTCCCTCAGAAGCTCCACCTCCAAAATTCATGGATGAGCATTGTCAAGGCGACTAGTACAATTTTGCTGAAAAATGGCAGAATCAGTCTGCTGGCGGAGGGCAAGTTAGCCTCAATAAGGCGACGTGTTTCTAGCAGTACCGGCGAAGTGTGACAACAAGCCTGTCAATATTTAAAGATGTATTGAGCAAAATACTTTTCTAATACATGGAGTCCAGTTTTGTATTGGTAGGATTACCACAAGTAACTTCAACAGTAACGAATACTAAACAAACTTCATCAAACGAATTACATGCAACCACACAAACACAGCATCCAAAACACAACGGAGTAAAAAACTAGCGGGAGTTATTTGAAATAGTTTACAAAAATGCAGTGACTAGTGAGAGGATGATACATTTCTATCAACTGCAAACCAAACCAAACAAGGAACCAGTGTTCCAGCGAATTTTCAGACCCCTCTAGCGACTAGCGACAAATCTAGCAACTTGTTCTGGTGTTATCGGAGGCTTTTGGACATACTGATGTGAAAGCATGTATCGTTCTTATACTCTTCTCAACAAGCAGACTCAGTCCTTGTGCAGCAGGGAATGTTTAACTCTCCACGTCCAGAGACCAAATGAATCACGCATTCGCAAATATGTTCTAAAGATATTTAGGGTGGTTTTTACTCACTTTTTGTCTCATCACAATTACATGCATGTGGCAAATTATGCAAATTAGGCACTGACATTTATAACAGCAGATATACCACTATTAAAAAAGAAAGAGTCAGATCCTTCACTCATGAGTGTTACATAGTTTGCCCACCAGAGGGTGCTCTGCAACTCTCCTGTCAACAACACTGTCTCACCACAAAAACCACAAAAGAAAACAATCAGCTGACCGGAGTCTAGCATACCATGTACAAACAACACGGAGAGTGGCTGTGTTAGTGGTGAGTTTCACATTAATCAAATGACTTAAATTATTATAAAAACAGGCCCCATCACTTGTCTTCTCCTGAAAACATTCATGACTTGCTAACCCTCCCGTTTTTCACTGCACTCTCTCAGCTTGCTCCCGGGTCACAGCAGTAATGTTGTTTAATGTTACAGTAAGTTAGTTGAGTGGTGGAGGCTAACGTTACACTGCTGACAGATGTGATTGTAGATTTATTTCTGAAACAGTGTGGTAGTTCTAGTGAACAGTCCTGTCATTTCTCCCTAGTTCATCACTTCTAAATATTCTAACGCTACACGTTGCTAAATTAGCCACAAAGCTAATGCCATGTTTATCAGTGACAGAGCGCTATTGTCATAATGAGCAGTTAAACTATAGAGTTTAATGTATTCTTAATATATCTTTGAGACGTTTATTTGTAATTACAGTCCGTGTGTTGGAAATGATTAAACAAGAGAAGACATGTAAATAAAAGTGAGCTGAACAAGAATCTAACTCAGCTTTCTGCCAGACAAAGTTACAGTATCTGCCGATAATATCTACCGATAATTTTCTGAATCAAAATCAGCCTCACTGATGTTAACAAGGGTCTTTGCCCTTGCATGGTCATATCACTTGTTTCACAATTTGTACTCTTCAAACCTTTTCCTCTCGGTCTGTTTCTCAGCCATCTCTCCTTATGGACAGTGCCTAGAGTCCCATAATGAGTCTATCATATTCAAATGTACTGATGTTTACAACTTTCTCTTTTACACTGCTCCCGTGCACGAGCGTGCTAACTGTTGCTGAATGGCTGGAACAATGTTGTGGAGAGCTCTCTCAACCATTTTCTTTGTGTTCCATTTACAGACTCAGGGCTGTGTAGTGAAAACAGATTTTTTTCAGAGCACACATTAACAGAGACCTGAGGAAAAAGTAGCTGTTTGGATTAGAATCTCTAAGGATCGCTTTGAACCTAGCTTTAGGGCTTGCATGCTGCAGTATGACGGAAGCACTGAAAGTTCTGCAGTGATAATGTCTGTTTCCTTTGCCTGTTTCCCTTCTGTGGGACAATTGTTCTTTTATGTCTGTTTGACAGTGTGATGAGTGATGATAGGAACTAGGCCTGCACGATATGAGGAAAATCTGCAATGTGCAAAATAAAACAACTACAAAGCTATACCTGTGTCAGCTTGGTTGTCTTTAACTTCAGAACAGGATTAGAACGGAATATTTTAAATATAACTACATGTTGTTTCTAGAGCTGTGACAGTAAAGTTTACAACAGGAAGGCTATAAACAAAGTTAATTAACTCATCTCACTGGAAACAAATACTGGTGTGAATCACTGCCTGCTGGTAACTTTGCCGCTGGTACATAGAGAGGAGCAGCTGGTTTGCCATTTTAAGGTACGTGGCAAACTAATTTAAACAGTTACACTAAAAACAGATAGCTTGTTTGTCACAATTCACTATTAGCCGAGCAAGCGCGCTGTGCTTGTGTGAAACCAAAGCACAGTGGTGGTGGATGATAGATAGAGCAAATTAAAATATCTCTTCTTGTAAAAATGTCATGTTTACATGTTCATGCTTGTTGAATAGGTGTATTGAAAAATGATTGGCTTTTTACGCCAATGTTTTATTGCACGTCTTGCGATTTGTGGCGATGTGACAATGAAAATACAATTTATCGATCAGCATAATAGGAACTTATGCCAACGTTGACCTGCTCTTAGGCAATCCTTAAATTACTTAAATGTAAGTCTTTTCCTCTTTGGCCACATGAAACACTTTATCTTCAAAGTCAAAAATAAGTAACTTTTTCTGCATTAAAAAAAATATTTATGCGTGTTTGTGTAAATACAACTTGCTGTGAACATGATGTAGATGTGCAGATGAACATTTGATTAATACCAGCTGAGCACAATCTGTTTGTCACTGGAGCAGTTGAAAGCCCTGTGCCAACAAGGCAGGGCTTTCATGTAAATGCTAACCATCAAGTCACATTGTCACCCATTTCATAACCCTACAGTAGTCACTATAAATTATCACTTGCAATAACGGAAATGAGCTGCCATATTAT